GATCACTTTATTATGGTACCTACTAAGTACTAATATTTTGGCTCTACCATAATTTTATATAAACTTAACCATCGCCACTTCTAACTAAAAAAAACAAACTGTAATTCAGTTAAATATAAGAACAAGTGAAACATCTTAAAATAAATACAATAACTTATCCAATTTAATCCCATATTATCTAATAACAAAGCCCATATTAATTAATAAATCGGAATTATGCTTATTCTTATATTTCTCCATCTTTATTCTCCATTATTTTTTTAAATATTTCTAAAGTTAGCTATAACGGAAATAATGGACGCCTTTTTATCAACAGTTACATATTATAGATGCGATAAGCAATATGTTTTCCGGTTGTGATTGACGTCATAATATGTTGAGGTCGGTGAACGGTACAACTGATTTATATTACAAAACGATAGCGATATGAATTATAATTTAAGAAACTGTTGCAAGCGGCTCGTTGGTCTAGGGGTATGATTCTCGCTTTGGGTGCGAGAGGTCCCGGGTTCAAATCCCGGACGAGCCCGTCTTTTTTGATATTAATTTACAATATTATTTATATGGAATCAAATATGTAACAAATTTACTATGAAGTATGTCTTTATTCATAAACAATATTTTTAAATTAAGTACATATTTTTAAAAATCATTTTTAACGTACTACGTACATACATATTATATGAATTTAATTTATATATAGCCAGCCGGCTTATACTTTCTCGAATGCTTTAGAGGAATCATGGTCGCGGGAGAGATCTCTCCACGTCGGGAACTAAAAATCAAAATTAATCCGCGAAATAATTCAAAAAGCTAGTTTTATTAAAATTTTCTATAAATTATTATCTAAAAACTACTTAGAACTACTGCTTTAAAATACGGCATCCGGTATATACATAGGTACATATAAGACGCACCCACCAAATTTTGTATACTTTACATTATAGATGATAAAAAAATAACATTAAATTCAAAGTGAAAGCTTAAAATTAAATAAATAAAAAAATCTTCCAAAAATTCGATTTTTATGTCAGTTGGCTCGTTGGTCTAGGGGTATGATTTTCGCTTAGGGTGCGAGAGGTCCCAAATATATTTCAAATTAAAAATAAAACAACCCAAACATATAGATTTTTTATAATCTTTAATAATACTCTATAATTAATATAAAATATAAAACAGACATAAAAATAAAAACTCAAAAATAATTAATAAGATATTTTCATATCTGACTAACACTGTTTTGCTAAGAATATACATATTTTCTAGATTAAGAAATAAAAATGCTATTGATGATAGTAGTCAAGTACTAATATTATAAATGTGAAAGTTTAAATGTTTGGATGTGTGTTTCTCAATTACTTGAGGCAGTTTCTCAATTCTTAAGAATTTACTTAAGAACCGCTGAACGGATCTGGATGAAATTTGGCACAGAGATAGATAATAATCTGGAATTGCACATAACCTTTTATCCCGAATAAAATTACGGTTCCCGCGGGAAAGATTTGTTTTTGTTTCTCGCTAGTAGCTAATATACATTGTCCTGAATCGTTATTTTGTAAATTTTTTTATTTTAATGTTTAGGTATATAGCGCAATTTTAATATATAACGTTATTGAAATTCTTAATAACAGGTATTTAATTTATCAAACTTTTCAATCTATTACTAGATAAGTGAAAAACAATGCAAGCGTATAAATTACATTAATTCGATCCGGAATTTAATCAACAACGCTAATGAAAATCTAATTAAACATTTTCATTGGAAAATTTGTACAGAATTTTTGAGTGCTTACTTTTAGTTTACTTTAATTACATTTTCTTCTATACACAATACCCAATTTATTTTGGCGTATCAATATTTACAAAATATACACGGTAACAGCCCTTTAGATAACTTTTTATTTAAGAATACTCAACGGGACTTCAACGACTTGTCATTTAAATATAGTAAAAAAAGCTTCTCCTTTAATCTCTACAGTATCGTATTAGATATGTGAGTAATAAGTAATTAACTACTCCTGTAGTACAAAAATAGCAATAACATAAAGTTACAGCACAAAAGAGGATATTTTTTTAATTAAAATCATTTCAGAAATCACCATAATCATATATTTCTTTCTACATATAAACATATTTTGAAAATATTAAAATGATATTAGTTATGTTTAATAAATAAATGTAACATAATATAATTTATTAGTGTACTTCAGAGACTTTGCTAAAGCGTTCCAGTATCTTCACGAATCCTCTTAATGTGTGGTCTGAGATAATGGTACGTGCAAATTCTATTACAACTAATGAGCGAATTCTATGTAAACGGTAAAATAATGACTAAGGCAAGTATATATCACAATATAAATCAAGACAAATATTCTGAAATGTGTCTTAATTCTCAAGAAGACAATTTTAAATGCGCCATGCGACCTATTTTACTGTAACATTGTTACTTAGGCGTCCCCGTCAACCGAATGCGGCACTACACCAGAGGCTTGAGTGGCAATATATCCAGCGAAGTGCTTTCCCAAATAAAAATGAGGCGTCATTTAACATACACCGTGGATGGGGATGAGCACTAAGCGTTGATACTTTTATTCATCACATATGTACAGTAAGAGCTAAGAAAATTAGAGTACGTTATACTAATTTAGTATGTTAAATAAGTTCATTATTTTGAATAATAATCATTATTTATTTAGAGCTTCTAATATTTTAATTCTAATTGCTTTACTAATATAATGGGTATGAAAAAGAATTGTCAAAATTAATAGCCAATCGGAGAAGATATCAAGTACAGATACACTAAAATTACAGCCGAAGTGAATAGGTACGAGTATTTCCTACTTTTTAAGGTCAGTAAATGTGAAAGTAAATTATTACTATAAAATTAGAATAAAATGAGGAAATATGACATACATATGCTTAAAAGTGCTATTTCAAGGTGACAACAGCTCACGATATCAGTTTTGATAATATCAATACATACAGTTATAAATAACATAAACATTGTAATATGCATATTTTCAATTTAAATAGTAATGTTCCAATTATATTTTCAATTATTATGGTAATACTATTAAGATAAAACGGTTTCGTCGAAAGTCGATAAAACAGCATAAATCACGAGACGAAATAATTAAGAAGTGCCCTTTGTCGTCAAAACGGGTGGCAATACCAAATTCTAAATTAAAGCCAGATTTAACGAAATCCATCAAAGAATTAATTAAAGAAGATGTCCGTTTACCTTTTTTATTGAGTTGGATAAGCGAAGATGTACTTGAAACAAAAGGTTTTATGTCTTTTTAAGAATCTCGCCAATATATTTGAACTTGCTTTATATTAAGGTTTAACATTTTCTTTGTAAATTTCTACTTATAATATAAAAAAAATATCTGTCTATTTGTACATCATTAGTATTCGAAAAGTTTCAACTGATTTAAGAAGGGATTAACTTTAAAAGACACTGCCAGTTGCCACAAAGATGCTAGTAAGTTCTTGTGGGATAGTTATATGAAAGTTGGATAGTTGTCTGAAATTTTGCTTCATATATGAAAACTACTTAGTAAATAAATAAAAATTTACGATAATTGATACTTAATACTTAAGGTAAGTATACTAATCTGAGATATCCATTAATGGTTCTTTTAAAATAAATCATGATTTTTGAGATATACTTCTTTTGGCGCATTAGGGGGAAAATGTTAAAGTGATTTTTTATGGTGTGACAGATTTAGACTACAGTACGAAGTTAGTCGTTGAATATCCATTTAGTATAGTACATAGTATGAAGTCATGTCTATGTTCAAGATATTTATTCCTGTATTTCTATATTTCTATATACACAACACGTATTTTATATCGAGTAAAATAAAAATTAATACAAGAGTTTAACCTGTCCCAGTGTCTGTCTGTAATAAAATCTTCCAAGTTAAATTTGATCCATTTCTCATTGTCCGATTGAGCTACGATTTGTCATACACGTTTGGTTCTGGTGACTGCACGATTACGAATACGAATATGACGGCCGTTACAAAATGGCGAATTATCATCCCTTATGATATAAGCATCGAATCAAAGGGCTTGATGCGCTCATCAAAATCATCAAATATGTTTCACTATACACAATAAGCAAAGTGACGTCGTTGTAAATCCAATATAGAGATTAGGTTTTTTTTTGCATCCCCATGATATGGATATCAAATTAAAGAGTTTACTGAGAAGAATACGAATAAAATATAAACTTAAAAAAGAAGGAAACGAATTAATAAAGAAATAAAAAAATGCTCTAAAAAAATAAAGACGTATAACTTATTACGTGCTTTCGTATATACAAACGCACGCACACTTTGTTTAATTTCCTTACATCATATTTAATTATTTGTGTTTGTTTACTAAAAGAAATAGCCAAGATGGGCTGACTAAAAGCTGAATAAAATAAGCATCGCAAGCACGACCTGGGTGAGACAAACATGTCACGAGTCCTATTCCTAGCGATGGACAACGAATGATGATGGTAATGATGAAAAAATAAAACCCGTGAAATATTAATTGAAATTAGTATTTTTTATTTGATGGTATGGATTTAATTACATATGGTTTTAATTTTGTCAATTTAAATAAAATTCCTAAAAACAATAAACTATGGACGTGGTAATGATTAATAATCTAAACGATTTTTTATCAATAGTTTTGTTACTTTTAAATTTATTAAAGTCTACAAAAAAAAATAAGCACGCACGAGGAAAGATGCAGAATAAAACTATTGTAAAGGCATTAGTTGTTTAAAAAAAATATCTACGCGTTGAAGAGGTGACGCGATAATTGTGTTGTTATGTATTAAGCACTAAACTTGATTGAATATTTAAAATTAATGTTCTAAATTCTTTCCGCTTCAAAGCTTTACTAAAATGCTAAAAGATTATATTTTCAATTTATTTTTAACTTTATTATCGTTTCTAAATGTGGTTGAAAATATATCTCATTTAGGATTACCCCAACATAGTATGTCGATAACTAAAAGTCTTAAACAATTTAATCGTAAGTAATTTTATTTTTTATAATAATAATTTACTTTAGAACTAAAAAGATAAAATAAAAGTGTAGTCTTTGTTTTAAAAAATACTCTCAAAATTAAATTATTTTATATATATTTTTATGAATCTAAACCAAAAAGTACTGCTGCGATAATTGAAAAAATGCTGATAATTGATAAATATTTGGGATCAACAGTTTAATTATTATCTATGTAACATTAAAGTATGCGTGAAGGCGCATTTACCCCGAATTGTCATTTTTTAAACTGTAACAAAAAGGGCTCAATTTGGCCGCATTTATTTTTAAATTTTCATGTGTATGTTAAACGATATCTTACCAGTTTTAAACAGATATTCTTAATTTTAATGGGTAGATTTTAATTCAAAAAATGTCCTTCTCTTGCAATGGAATAATTACGTTCAAGCAACTTTTAAGTTGGTGTACTATTTTTAGTATAAATTAATTATTTGTATACGATGTGCTCTTCGCTTTCCGATGCTCACGTCTGTGCTCAGTAGAGCAAAAGCTCTCTGATATGATGCCTTATGTTAGGAAGTAAACAATTAGACATTAGTTACAGTGTTCGAGTAAGTCGATTTTTACGCAAATTAATGGTTATTTTGATAATATAAACAACATAGATATAAAAAATACCTAACCCTACTCAAACAGAAGATATTAAGAGCAATAATTTTTTACTTAAATGATTGATTCATATTTCAAAAAACAACTATATTAGAAACGTCGGGTACCAAAATCAAAATAAAACCGAGAAAGAATCCCAAAAGATAGTTTTATTTGAAATTATCCAATCTTTTAAAGAGAAAACGACAAATAGAAAGAATCGCACCGCAAATTGTCTCAATAGTCTATACTGACGGAAAGCGTAGTAAAAGCCCGTTCTAAAGTCCTAAAAGGACTATCATACATTTAAACGAGCAATATTATATATATATATATATATATATATATATATATATATATATATATATATATATATATATATCACATTCCTAAAATATAATTTCAAAGTTCTGTAGAAAAACACATTATCACCTTAATATAATCTTTTTATAAATATTTTTTTTAGCTACATTATTTTCAATTTTAGCTTTATGGATCAACTGTGATAATATTCACAGCGTATGCATGCAAAGCAAAGCCTGCAAAGACAGGGTAATACACGACAAGGATGAATGTTTGGAATATAACAAAAACTTCGTCTGTTGCCGGGTGGCTCATATCCGCATGCCCGTCGATATGTTTGACAATTATGATTAAAATGTTGTCATAAAATGCATAAATAAATATTTTGCTACTAAAAAGCATTCTTACTTCTTTATAAAATACTAGCGACTTGCCCCCGATTCGCTCGGACGGGTCCCTAAGTAGATTTGAAAGGGATAAAAATAGTTATTGTAAGTATATTTTAGGAGATAGACACATGCTTTTGCAGATTTTTTCGTAGGTTAAAAGGTTATAAGTTTTTAATACTATATATATTGATTGATGATGAGCGACTTATGTTCGGATAAATTTTGCATTTTCCGGACAAATTAGAATTTTTTGTTAAGTATGTTACTTTTTAACTCTTTTTCTAATAGTTTTTATGTACATCATTGAAATTTATCTATGAAGGACGACTCACCCGAATCAGTTACTGTGTTTTCCCGTGGGATCGAGAGATTTTCCTGTAGTAAAAGGTTGTGAGTTCACAAAACGTAGTTAAAATCCGTTCAGTAATTTTTGCGTGAAATGCACACATATATGAAGCCAAGCATACAACCGGACATACAGACAAATAGACCAAGATTTCAGTAACTATTATTTTGAGGTTTATATTCTGTACACAATACGTAATTATTGTTTTGAAAAAATATTTCATGTACAGATTTCACATTATTACTATATTATTATATTATCTATTGTACTTACTCTCCATATAGGCAAAACAGTAAAATGTACTAGAAGTGTTAGGTCCTGTCCGCAGTTAGATTAATCCCTCAACGACCGCGGACACGCCGGCGTTACAGTTAACAATAGATTTTTTAGTTTAATTAGTTTCTAGAAATTTGCCTGGAGGTGATATATCAGAAGTTTTCATAAAACTATATACCGCGACCAGATCGTAGAGTTCATTATATCATGAAGTACTCAACCATGGTACACAGAGCATAAAATTCGAGGACGTCATAAAATGGAAGTTACTAAAGTATGCATTACATTGTTTATTGATCGTACTTTGATATGGGGCGACTAAATTAATGAACAGGAATCCTTTGACGATATAAACAACTGAACGTTTAGCTATTTCATGATATGGTCAAACGTTGTATCGATGATATCGTAAAATAGTTACAATATCCAGACCATCGCTCACGGGTCTGATGGTGCGTTGTTTATGCAATACATGATGTGTTAACTTCATGTTCAGACAGACCTGATTGGGATTAAGGTGAACCATGAGAGAGAAAGCTAAAGCGGGAACGAAACCAGACGTAGCTTCCATCCTTAACATTGTCATTTTTCTTTAACCTACTCTTATTACCCTCAGTTAAAGGATCGAGTATATTAGGTAACGACATATACATTCCTCGTGGAAATCAAAAAAATCTTTTTGTAGCTTTTTCTCTTCTATAATATCAATTTTATACCTATACTGTAATTTACAGATCTATAAAGATGGCTCAGCCATTCTTTCCAATTTGTGAACAATAAAAAATATTTGTATATCACGTTCGGTAAATATTTTTTAACGAGATCAATCAACGAGCAAACAACAAAACAAGTATGTCGCTCGTATGTGAGTGATGTAGTAATTCAATGAAGCTCCGTTATGCAAACTTGACTAATGAAGTTTAGTTAAGCCGACTCGTACGATCCAATCTCCTGCTAGGCCTAATTCCCATGATGTATAGCTCACTAAATAAGTCATATATCTAATATAATAATATTTTGAAAATTTTGTTTATTTGTTTGAACGCGCTTATATCTAAACCTACCTACAAGGCGGATTTGTTAAATTCTTTTTTGCATTTAAAAGCCTAATTCTTGAGGAAGGTTCTAAGCTCTCTAACAACTCTACGACTTTTAGGAATGAAACAGCTATACATAAATAGGCTACGCGAGCAGAGCCGCTGTAAAAGCTAGTATTACATATAAGTGATTATTTTTGCCTGTGGTATCGTTATAGTGGTAGATAAAATAATAAAAAATATTATAACTTCGTCCCAGTGCAGTAATGGATACGGGCTGCCCATGATAGGGATTTTTATATCTTTTAAAACTTAGAAAATTATAAATTGTTTGATTGTTTTGATTGGTGTTCATGCAAAAATTTTACAACTTAGTGTCAAATCAGCCTTTTTTTCAGCCAAATATTAGTTTTATTTCAGCATTATAAAATGAAAAAAAAAAACTTTAACAACAATTACTTTCTAATTACCTCAAGAATAATAGGAAATAACGATTTGTTAACAGTCTTCTTTGAGCCTAAGAAATTTTAAAGGTGTAATCCTCTTAAATAAGCTATTTACTATTTTGAAAATGCTTTGAAAAATCTACTAAATAGAAAGGATCATATTCCATCAGACAATCTACTAAAATGATTAAAGGCATATCTAGCTGGCCTGATAATTCAGTTGGCTCGGATATTGCAATTTCCCAGCGCGCACGCCCACTGCACCCTTCCATTTCGTTTCATATCGCTACATCAACAACACTTGACTTTTATAAAGCAATTCTCGCTGGAACTATTTTGGAGAGCCTACCTTCTATCTTTAGTGAGTTTATTTTCTTTAAATATTTATGTTGGCAACATTGATCAATTTCTTTAAAATATTCATAAAAGAGCTAGTATAAAACTCATATAACTAATTCAAAACCTTTACAACGTGTAACATATACATACATTTATATGTACCTTGTTGCTATAGTTTGTACCACAATTTTATATGAATTATCAACATTATCAACATTTCTTCGAAAAGTATCTAGAATTAAATTATCTAGAAACAAATCCAACCTAAGGTTGAAACAATCACTTTTAAGGTGATTTTGAAAATATTTTATGAGTATTCTTTACTTATAACAACTATTTTGCTTTATAACAAACAAGGTCACTGAAGAGACTCTTACAAAAGTTATTATATACTTAGCTAATCTATGTATATAAAAATCAATTGCGTTGTTTAACGGAGCATCACTTGAGAAAGGCTCGACCGATTTGGCTGATTTCTTTTTTATTGTGTTGGTAATTATCAGGATCAGAGTTTATTTAAAAGAAAAATTTGGGAAAATCACACCGGAAATGTCGAAAATTTTTATGGTATTTTTGTATGACAATCTCAGTACTATATTATGTAACGCTCAGTTTGAGAGTTCTGAAACCACATATTTTCAAAATAACAAAAAACTTTCTATATTTTAATGTACAGACATGACCTCATGACAGAATCATTAGCGTTGTCCCCGGCTTTACCCGCGTTCAAACAACAAAATATAACTTTTCGTCTGTATATATTAGAATATATTTTGTTGACCGAAACTATTTTTATATGAATTTTTTTTTTAATTTTTCTTTGATTATTAATATTCGTATAAATGTGAGTTCTACTTGCGCATCGAGATTTCTGTGCCGCCAAATATTGTATTGTTTTTACGAATTTTGGTATGATAACATTAAAATAAAATATTTACATTTTCAAAGTCCCTACACATTTTATCGACCGCAAAAATAATCTCGTTTAATTTTGCAGAAAGTCTGTCTCTCCCGTGACCATTATTGCTATAAAGCATTCGAAACGTAGGGAACCAAAAACCTGAATGAATCCGCAAAGATAGTTTTATTTTATTTAAGAATTAGGTACTTGATAAAGTGGAATATAAAGCGGCAGAGTTTTTTTTTTTTGTATTTTGAACTTGAGCGAAGCCGCGTTCACTGCTAGTGTATAAAAAATGATAGATATAATATGTTGTTTCCTGACCCAAAGAAAAATATTTTTTGTTTTCTTTTTTTCTTCTATTTAAGGTTTTCGATTTTGTGATCTCCACTTAATGTTTAAAATAATTAATGCTGAAGAAAATTAATGTTTAAGAAATATAAATGTTTTCTAAAATCGTACACAATTAAACAATCAATTGTCAATATATATAACTTCACAGTTCACCATAATTACTATATCTTCAGTCCAATCAGTATATATAAGGATGAACAAGGATAAGCACTCAAACTCACACTGACTAGTGTTGTTTTATAAGCTTCAAGAGTTGTAACTACAGGGATATCGGGCAAAATAGAATGGCGCGGAAAGAGCGCTTGGAAATTGCAACATCCGAGTTAACTTAATCACCCACAATAGGGTTCCTAGATACGACAGAAATTGTATTATATTTTAAGTTACTTTACCGATAATATATAATAAGTAAATTTAAGATACCGGGGCGGAATCACACTCACCCTCTCCATCGACGACCAATCTGTTGAGACCCTTCAAAAAACCGGCATGAAGGCCTACTTGGCTTTCAAATCGGTCCAGTTCCGTATCAAGGGCATCAACCAGACGCCAACGAATCCTGGGACACTTCCCTCTGAACCTGTGCCGTCTACCTCTCGTTCTGGGGCCGCGGCTGCTGGAGCAAACGCCAGCGTTGCTGCGCCTTTACCATCTGCTGCACCTGGCGTGGCTCCTGTGGCCGGGACCAGCGGAGCGACTGGTACTCCGCACAGGTTTCCTCGTACAGGGGGGCACACCAGGGGTGGACAAACCCCCAGAGGCAAGAGCCAGCGCCCCCGCAAACAAAAGGGACCCAGACCCAGCAAGGGCAGTGACAAGCGCAATGGGGCCCGTCCCCAGTAGCGCTTCACACCCAACTGGCGACGCCCCCACTAAAATACTCCAAGCCAATCTACACCACGCTATCGCTGCCACAGCCGTGGCAGAAAACACTTTTAGGGCAAATGGCATGGATATAGCGCTGGTCCAGGAACCATGGCTTAACGCCAAGTCCAAGATTTCGGGCTTAAATGGAGTAGGTAAGATCCTAGCAAACGAAAATGGCACCAAGCCTAGGGCCTGTATCGTTTTTAAGAAAGGTATTAATTTCTTGCCTGTTACAGAACTTTGCAGTGATGACACCGTTGCTGCAATCACCGTTCTCAGAGGGCGTGGTCAAACTAGAGCACTTGTGTGCTCGGCCTACCTGCCCGGAGAGAAAGCCAACCCCACCGAAGAACTGTCTAAAGTCGTCGACTACGCTCGAAAACACAAGACAGAACT